CTTCTCGCTGACCCCAGAGTGGGGTGGGAATGGGGATTTTGCAATAACCTTCCCCTGGAGTGGAGTGGGAATGGAGATTTTGCAGTATTCTTACCAAGCTATGCCCACCAAGCCACACTACACCACCAAGCCACACCCACAGAACCAGTAATAAAAAAAATTGAATTTCACCACTGGTTTCTATACATCCTATAATCACCAGAAACTGAGCTAAATCCTTCCCTTTACCAACCACTGCCTTTTTCCAGGAATTTTTTTTAAAAAAAATCTTTATAATATAGTCCCTATCCCTGTAATTTCCTGATCATCACCCACTGAAGTACCACTGAATCCATAACCCTGCTAAACATTTTGGGATCAGTCATGGTTATCTAGGTCCTAATTCCAAGTATAGGATCATAAACTTGTCTAGTACAGGACTTTAACATTTCTATCCTGCGTCAACTTAGCAAGAGAAATTCTTCTGAATGCAAGAAGGGGTGATGTTTGAATCAACATCTTAAATACTGTGTTTCCCCCAAAATAAGACAAGGTCTTATTTTCCTTTGACCCCCCGAAATAAGCCCTTGGCCTTATTATTATCTTTATTAATTTTTTTATTTTTTATTTTCAAAACAAACACNTACTCCCAAATCAACCCGTTCTTTAACTGTTCCCTTCATCTGGCAACTCTGCGCATGCGCACACTGGAAATAGGCTCTAGGTTTTCATCTACCTCACTGATGTCTGACTCTGAAGGCAGCTGATAACTAGCATACTGCTCTGGCCCCCTCTCTGCCTCTGACACAGAGCCCTCATCAGAGCCTTCCCCAGAATCCAGGACTGGCCCATGTTCTCCCCAACCACCTCACTGTCCGAATCTGCTGCCACTAACTTCCCATTAATTGGAAATCTATCAGTTTTGTCATTTCCGTGGTTAGTGGCTGAAGTTAAACAATAGGCTGGTATTCACACAACACACGGGCCCACAAAAGTCTAATTTAGACTGAAGCTATCCAAGTTTTGTATTCCATTTAGATGTAGAAAGACTGATAGGTAGTCCTCCACTCATGACCATAATTGAGCTTGAATTAAAGTTGTAAGCCATGAAAGTCATTAAGCAGGTCATCACATATTTGCATTCAATTTACAATCTTTTCCATGGCAGTCATGAAATGAATAACCATGGTCATTAAGCAAACCCCAAGGCTGCTAAATGAATATCAGAGTCATTAAGTGAACCCATGACTGCAATGGATTTTTTTTTTTACCAGAAACCAGAATCAAACATCAGTTTCTGATTTAAAAAACCATTGTAAACCATAGTCACATCACCGCAATATGCTTCAAATAGCTTTAAATGCAGGCCAGAGTAACTAATAGCAATAGAACTTAGACTCATATACCACTTCATAGTGCTTTTACAACCCTTTCTAAGTGGTTTACAGTCAGCCTATTTCCCCCAACAATCTGACTCCTTATTTTACCCACCTTGGAAGGCTGAGTCAACCTTAATCCAGTAGGATCGAACTGCTGGCAATCAGCAGAATTAGCCTGCAATACCTCCTTCTAACCACTGCACCACCCTGGCTACAATCATGTGACTGGGGAGGCATCAAAACTTTAAATTTAAGATCGTAAATAGCCACGGGGAGCTCTGTTGTGACTTCTTCATAAATTGAGGACTACCTGATGTGATGGAATATAATGCAGTGTCACAGGAGGGAGGAGCCCTTTTCCAGAGAGTAAATAGACAACATAACTTGGAATCCTTTATGCAGGAAAAGAACAAAAGCCAACATCTCTCCCCCCCGCCCTACCCAGCACTCCAATGTGTATATCTAATAATTATGCAGGTACATCTGCCAAGATTTCTGTCCACGGCTGAACAATAATAAACCACTCTGAAATCATCCTCAGTTCCTTGGGCCTGGCACTGTATAGAAAAAAGCTAGAATTCTTTAGAAACATTAAAAAGACAAATAATTCATGTTGCACAATAAGAAGAGTCAAGAATTCACTGGTGTGCCTTCCCTATTCAGTCACACCGCTTTCTAAATAATCTTTTGCCAATCATATAAATAGTATTTGTGCTACCAACCTATTTGGTTTTGCCAGAGTTACTAGGCTGCAAAAAGCCAGTTGATCACTATAACACAGCAAAATGTTACAGTTTTCTGCCTCTCTTCACTGTAAGCTAGTGGCTGCCAAATCTTTCATGTATGTTTAAAAGCCAACGTTTCTTCAGGAGGTCCTGAGAATTGCAATATGGTAAGGGTGCTAGGAATCTCTATGAGAGACTTACACTGCCTGTTACCGAAACAACTAACTTCATCATAAATTGAGGACTACCTGATGCGATGGAATATAAGCTAAAGTTCCAAATAGATGATCTATTTCTGAAAATAAAGGAAGACATAAAATTGTGGGGATTCTCTATTGCATAGACAATAGAGGCCAACATCTTAATCTTTGTTCTAGCAAATCCAGCAAGATTGGTAGTTGCAGCTTCTTGATCCTAAGCCAACTCTTTTGTGTATATATGTGAGACTGATGTATGTACCGGTACAAAGAAAGAGGGGCTTGCATTCCTCTGTCTAGTTCCTTTTGACCTCTCCCATCTGTGAAAGCTGCAGTAGGAGAGTTACTGAGAAAATAGCTACTAGGGTCCTAAAAGAAGGGCACCACAGAAATTTGACAAAATAAATGAAGAACATAAATAATATTCACCACCACATTTGCGAGAATAGACATGAGTGGTGCGGTGCCCTAGAGGTGGTGCTCTCACCTCACAATCAGGAAGCTGTGAGTTTGATTCTGGGTAGAGGCAGATATTTCTCTCTCTGGGCACACTGAGAATATATCTGCTGAAACAAACTCTGCATTAGCAACAAGAAGGGCATCTGGCCAGTAAACACACAGTTGCCCAGACTCCACTCCACAAGTGATTATGGGGTCATTAAAAGAGGATGATTTTCAAGAATACACATACTTTTTCCCTGATCTGGAGGCATTGTTTTAAGGAAATGTGCTCATTCGAGCTTTTTAAAATTTGTGTTTGTTTTGTTTCCAGGAATTACATTTATGAGTGAATGGAATCCTTCAGCAATACCCGTCCACCAATGTCACCATAACCATTGAAGAGATACAGAATTCACAGTTTCTTTAAAGTTCAATTGTCACTTTATCATCCCTTTCACTGTCACAATTCTCAAATGAATGTAAACAGCACACAGGTGGGTCTCTGAAGCTTAATTAAAGCTCACGATTTGAATATATTACAAATTTGCATTTGTCCTTCAAACAGATACACAGTGCAAACAGCAATAGAAGAACAACAACATACTGATGTATTACTGCAACTGAATAATCAGAAACTAAAATAAACGAAGTCCTGAGAAATAAGTAGTATTGTTACTCCCTTACCTGGATACATTTTGACCAATAAATGCCCATTAAGTTCATAAGCAAATACATATTATATGATTCCTACTAAAACTAATGATTCATTGTGCAAATCTAAATCAGTTAAAAATTCTGCTGGTTAATGACCACAATAAAGTTATTTCAATTTGAAATCAGTTATACCTTTAAAATATGTGATTTGACCTCTTTGAAACAGGTATTTTTTAAAAAAAAAATTCCCCGCAGTTATTACTCAGTATTTGAAACAATAGATGAGTGTTCAAACACAAGTATACTGTAAAGCAGCAAGCATCTTAGTCAATCAAGTCAAATTATTTTAAATATATCGCCGCATAGGTTTTTTTTTATTCCACAATGTGAAGCAGCAATTAGTATAGATCAACACAGCCTATGGTAGAAAATACTTATTAGTCCTTCATTTGTTTGAGGTTTACATATGTGTAAGGGATGACAATCACATTTTGTATACAATGTGATTGGATTTTTAATATCAATCCAGTATTTAAAATCTGATTCAACAATTGGGTACATTCTCCACTGTTCTCAGACTGTCAACAGCCCTGTGCAATGTTTTGGATTTAATTCCAAAAAGATGCTCTGGACCATACAGGGGCACGAACATAGCACCTATCTCAAATTCCTTTTCTGGGAACAGTGGTAGAACACATTGTTGGAATAAAATCCAGTATACTAAGCAACCCAAATTTTCAAGAACATTCATTGTTAAATTTATAATAATGAAAAAAACGTGGAGAAAGCTATCCTTACTTATTATACAATTACAGGTGCATATATCCCAAACCATATTATTTTGAAATGCTTAAAATGCTGTATTTTGACATTGGGACAATTCATTCACAATCTTAATTGTAAAAGAGAATGTAGAAAATAGAGGGAATGCCAACAACTTCTTTGAATGAACTTAGCGAAAAGTAATAAATATATAAGGAGGGAAGAGATATGAATTATAATTCACTGGAAATAGTAAAATGTGCATATTCAGCACACATTCTTACATATAGCACTTGAGTTTTAAACTTGAAAACAATCACGATCACAGACATACAATTTGCCCAGAAATAGAATCCTTTCCTCCTTCCTTCCTGTTGTGTACTAAATTGAAAACTTAAGCCATAAACAAGATCTCTTTGGAAACTCCTGCATTGACATCACTTCAGCCATTCAAGTAATTTAGCAATATGAAAAACGCAAACCTGCTTACACACCAATCCAGGGCTGTGTTTAAATGAAAGTAAAGTGGGTTGCTGGTGTGGAAGGGGCTATTCCTCTATTGCAGTGTTTCTCAACCTTGACAACTGGAAGGTGCGTCATCTTCACTTCCAGGAACACCACAGCCAGCAAGCATCTTTGAGTTGTGAAGGTTGAGAAACACTGCTTTAATTTGTGGCTAGGATAACAGTCCCTTGTGTCCTATCTTAATTTCCTAGAATGGGTAGATTGTCCAGGGGAAAAAAAGCACCACACATTTCATAGGCACTCAAGAGCCAATGAGCATCTCAACCATCATGGGAAGCTGGCTTTCCAAACTTCTTTTGAAAGAAATGCCAAAAAAAAAAAAAAGGAAACTACTTTACCATCTTTATGATAATAGGTAACTTCCACTTTTCTCTCCTCCGATCCAAGCAATGCCTGGGCAATTTGGGCAATGTGGTGCCTTTTGGTTTCTGGTCCATGAAGGAAGTCGCAGGTGCAGGGTTTTTGCATGACATCTGGCCGGGAGAACCCCGTCATCTCGCAGAAGCTATCATTGCAGTAGATGATCGCACAATTCTGCACTCTGGCATTAGCAATGATGAATTTTTTATCTGCAATAAAACAAGGGATTTTTTTTAAAAAAAAGGTTTTTAATTTGATAAACTTTAATAATGTTGGACATAGTGTGACATTTCTGGCCTAGTCATTTCCATAGAGTTCTTAGATCTTACAACAATAACAGTTTATATCCATTACATAGGTATGTGTAGTCACTCAGATTACCTACCCATTAATCCCTTTCATTATATAGTTACTATCAGTACATATACATATCCAATTCCTACCTATCATACAATATTAATACCATATTTCCAATTCTTAACTTATCCACATTTTTCTGTCCTGACTTTTTTCCCTTGTTTCTAACCATCAATACCATTCATTCCAGATTTCGTGGTATTCCGTCTCACCAACAAGGCATTTTTTTTCAAGACTCTTATGATATCTCAAAAGCCTCAGGTGTCTGTCTAGAGAAGGGCTGTCCCTGCATCAAATTTCTACATACGTTGAGCTTTAGTAAAGGCCCTAAATACCACCCTGGTGTACCAAAGCTCTTTAAAAGTGGCTCAATGGGAGGCAGAAGAATTAAAACTCAAAATCAGATGGGATCGTGGGAAGGGAAATCCATTCTAGGAAGCCGCTCACAAAACTTAGTCTGGGTGAAAAGCTTAATACTGGCTTACTGTTCTATTGAAAAAAGCTTTTTTTCTTTGTGCTGAGAACTGTTTGTCCAAACTATTGAAAGAGGCTTCATTTCTGAGGGTCTGAACTCTAATGAAAGCTTTGTAGTAGGCTTTTGGATGGGGGGGTAGGAAAGTTAAGATAATATCACTGGGTTTGCAAACAATTCTGCAAACGCATTTAAATAGATTATAAAACTAGTTTTCCCACCATCATGGTAGACATTAGTTTTGCTAAATATTTGAAGAACCCTATTCGAATGAAAAAGGCTAGCAGGTATCCTGCCTATGAAAAGGTTCTCAAAAACAAGAATCTACTCATTTAAAAATGACTTATTTTTGTAGGACTGTTGGCCATCTAGCCCCAGAACTCTCCAGTGCATACATATGACTTGAGCCCATCCAAAGGACACTGCAGCATTATAGTTCTTAATGTAACAGAAGGGAGGAATGATGAGATAGTACAGCAAAACCAAGCTGCCTTTTATTAGACTGTAGTGAAATGAAATGAAAATGCAGTGTTTTCCACTGATTCCCCCTTGTTTCTTTTTCTTTTTTGTGCTCTTATCTAATTTGGGAAATCTAGCACCTTTCTAGTTCTTGTCTAAATAGGTAGTCCATCTATTTTCTAAGGTCTTTATCTTTCCTATCGCTTACTATTTGGTTATTTTAACAGGAGATGCCATAGATAAGAGAACCTTTGCATGCACTAGGTGTTCTGAATATGAAACTTATTTGGCACAGGAATGCCTTTTTGTATTTGCCCTACCTGAGGTGCTAAACAGAGAGAAACCTGAGAGCAGAGGTTAATCTAGGGCAGCATATAGTGAGAAGGAAAACAATTTTGGGGGAAGGGGGCTACCTGAGGCATCTCCAGCACTCTTTTGCAAGAGCAGGTTGATTTGAACGCTCTCGGCCGCCCTGTAAGATGATCTTCTAAACACGACTATGGGATCCTTGTTTTCACAGAACCCAAGTGAAAGAAATTTAATTATACCACACATCTAATCCTGACTGTATAAAGCAAGATACTTTGACTGGGCCGATTTTCTTTCTCATATGCAGAAGTAATCCAACAGAATTGCAGAAACATATGGTTTTAGGTGATTATAAGAGAGTAGGAGGGAGAAACTTATAGCCTCAATTATTAATTTGCAGCTCAAAGATATTAATGTACTCTAATGGAGGATTTTGCTTGAAATTTTACTCACCCGTGTATTCTCTCTACAGAATCTGCACTGCCTACTCAGTTTTGCTGAGCCTGTTGTTTTCAATGACAGGCACAACCTTGAAGCCACATCTGTCACAACATTAAGGATCAAGGCGCAAGATATTTGCCTCACTTCTTTTCCAAGCTTCATCGGAGCTATCCCATGGCAGAAGTGCACATGAGCTATCTCCAAAGGCTAAAACATATTTACACTTGAAGACACAGCGAGAAGTCTGCAAGGCAAGGCGCATCTGTTTTGATTTCTCTCAAGCTCATTCACATATTTTGTGAAATATTTCTCAGGCATGTCATCTTCCGAAGAAAAGACCCTGATTACTGACAAGTTCTCTTCGCAGCAGCCTAATGTATGTCGCTCAATGGCCTCGTGATGTATTTCCTTATGAAGAGATAATTAAGTCCATTAACTTTAGTAGCTTCCTTCCATCTAGAAAAGTTGCACTATCTGACTTTCACAGGGTAGGAATCTGTTAGCTGGATATCCATGGCATCGTGAATTGTTAGCGATCTACCTATACTCTTCCTTGGCTAATTTCAATATATCTAGAATTTATTATCTCATTGTAGTCCAATGAAATACTTTTCCATTTTCCTGTTTTCAGGAATTGAGACAGGCATAATTGAAAGACTGAATTTGCAATCCTGCACACACTTATCTAAAAGTAAATCCTTATTTATTACAGAAACACAGCATTGCATTTAACCCACCTTGCAGCTCTAACCCTATTTTCAGAGCAAACTTTTTTTAAACATTTAAAATGAAAGCTCACGAGAGCCAGCCATATACTTCATGCTCATGGTTAGACAACTTTCCAAAGGGACTCATCATTTATTGCAGTTTCACAACAGTTTTAATGTTTCATCATGACAGCTCACAAAAGGTTCTACTATGGTAAAATGTTGAGTCTTTATGATCCCACAGAGCTTTTGATGCCTTCAGACTTTAACCATCAGATCTGACAGGGATCTTATGGCTCCCCCCAGAAAAAACCCTAATTCATCCTAGTTCAGCCCTGTTTTGAAAGGGCCTGCAAGAAACTTTTTTCACAAAGTCAAGTCAAACAACTATCTTTGGGGCAACCAAAGGTCAAGTTTTCAACTTCAAGGCAGAAAAACTGCACACAACTTTCTGGCTGTCTTCCATAGGACTTTAGGCCATCCAAAGCACATACCCTCCCCCCCCCACTTGCAAAAAAAGATGGGGCAACAATGCATAGTTTTGTCTCGGCCCGTTTGTGCCCAGGAAAGAAAGGAGAACAATTTGCCAAACTAAATTTGCCAATTTGCCAAAGCGAGCCGCCCTAAGGACGGGAAGGAAAGCTACCCCGATCGCCGTCTTGGAGAGGACTCAGCCACCCAAGGATGCCAGGGACAGCCCTTGCCAAGCCCGATCGCTTGGCGTTTCAACTTGTCTCCGTTTTCCCTTCGTTCCCCGACGCCGCCACCAGCCCCCTTCCTCCCACACACTCCGAACGTACTTTGCCCTTCGAATTTCCGGATGATGGTCCCCAAAAAGGTGTTTTGTGGCGCCACGTGACCTCTGCGAACTGGCATGTTGCACGACCTCCACCTCCCCGGGGCGCGATGCCTCCTCCTCAGGGCTTCGGCTCGGTCCTCCTCCTCCGGCTGGCTCTGCCTCTCCCTCCGGCTACCCTTTGCGAGATCTCATCTCCTCGGGGGGCCGCCGGGCAAGGCTCGTTTTCCGATCCTAGTAGTAGCAGCAGCAGCGCCGCTGAGCAGAGGCAGCCTCCCGCCCTCCCGGCGCCTGCTCCATGTTCAGCCTCTGCATCGGGGCCAACCTGACCCGCTCGTTTTCACCTTCCCCCCCTCCCAGAGAGAGAGAGAGAGAAGGGGGGCAAAAAAACGTTGGCCTGAGGCGGCGGGGGGTGGTGGTGACCTGGCTGAGGAATCCGCCCGAGGTGAGGGGCTTGCCGCGCCCCCGCTTCTCCTCACGCGAAACGCAAGACCTCGCCCAGTTCCTCCCCTCTCCGCCACTCCTGGCGCGAGTGATGGTCGGGCGCCGAGGCGGGAAGGCAGAGGCGCTGCCGGCTGCTCCGCTAGCGAGAGGGAGTGACGTCCCTCCCCGCGCGGTTATGGCAGCTCAGTTACTCAAGCGTGGCTCGGCGGCGAGTCAGCCCGCCCGTAAATCTTCCCCTCCACCACCACCCACCCTCCCGGAGCCGGCGACAGAGCAGCTCCGCGGCCGCGAGGAGCTACGATCGTGCCGCGCGCGGCTGCATCCCGAGGACGCCGTCGCCGTTGCTGCGACGAGGAGAAGCCGAGCAAAACGAAGGGAGGAGCAAAAAAAGTGCCAAACTAACACAGGTCGCTTCGTCGGGGGGAGCCACGCGGCCGAAGGACGGGGTGGCGGCTGCGGGAGTGGGCAAAGCCTTATTTTATTTTATTTTATTTTATTATTTTGCTTTTTCCCAGCGCTGAGAAGATTAGCCCAGGAAAAATCCAAGGCAGCCTTGCCAAAACGGGCGTGTCTCCCGTGAAATGAATTAAGAAAAGACGGTCCAGTGTCTCTCTTTGTGTGTGTGTNATCCATAAAAATAGCATTTAAAAAGTAAGATAACCACTGTCTAAAACCATTCCAAATTTAATTCTGCCGCTTGATTCTTCTATTCTTCAATTTAAATTGATTTTTAAGTTTTTATAGGCAGTCTCTTTTTTAAAACAATAAAAATTCCTCACCAGCTGGAAACACTTTCTCTTTCTGTATTCTTCCATTTTGGAGCCATCCCGACTTTGTCAGCCTTGACTGGATTTTTGTCACCATCTTGAAGAACTTCTCTTGCTTCTTTCAGGGATTTTATCGGGGATTTTATCCCCGAGATCAGCAAAACAGATTCTTCTTGTTCACCGTCTCTTTGGGACGGTTTAGGTCTGTTTTGACCACCCAGTGGCAAAAGTGTTGGCTGTGGTCTCAGAGCATTGAGACCACACAACCATATCTTTGTGACATTGGCTCCTCCTCCAAAAGGGAGGTCTTATTATTTTTGAAGTGCAGGAGGCAGCAAGTGTAGTTACCTCATAGCTGCTGCTGCATTGCAATATTTTTAGAGAAGGCTTATTTTCAGGGGAGGGCTTATTTTAGCACATGTGCTCCCAAATGGGGCTTATTATCTGGGAGCTCTTATTTTTGGGGAAACAGAGTAGCTGTGCCCTTTTAAATTCTGTGCTCATTTTTCTGTGTGTAAACCTGGTGGATTCCTACTGACTGAGCAAGTAGGAATACAGCAGACTATCAAAACTGCATTTTAAATGGAATGAAAACATGAATTTCTGAGTAGCCTTGTTTAGGACTATATCACATATCAAGCCACATACATGATTTATTTAGACATGGCTATAGGGAGAAACTTTTATTTCAGAACTGTCACAAATTTAACTCACCTCAAGGCTTTGTTAATACTTATCAGACTGATTCTGTCTTTAACTGGACCTATCTATAAGTTTTTTTCTTTTACTTAAGCGTAGGGCTAACCTAGAAAATATCAAACATGGGAACACATTTAACACATTTTCTTTTTCTTATTTTTGTTCAAGGACCGTTAAAGCAACCTGAATGCGACTGGCTCCATTATTAAGAAAGGTGAAAATTTCTTTTTTACAGGTTCCCTCTTGTTTAAAGTAAGAGGTAATATGAACCCTGCTGATGTGAAGGGGGGACCCTTTCCTTGATTAGGGAAAGTTCTAAGCCAGCCTGAGACATCCATTTCTGGGAAAGGAAATTAAGGCACTATATCAGAGATGGATTGCTCCCAGTTTTACTACCGGTTCACTTCATGCAACTTACAGTGAACTGTGCACACGCATGCACTACTAAACAACATGCTGGTAGCAGCAGCCAGGGAATCGGTTCAGGGGCGTGGCCAGCCGGTTCTGCAGCCCAGGCCAGAATATCACTACTGATTCGACTGAACCAGGCCGAACTGCAACCCACCTCTGCACTATATGTAGAATCATAGAACTGAAAATGACCACAAGGCTTATCTAGACCAATCCTCTATAACACGGATGTCAAACTCACTGCGTCTTGTTGCCATCACGTGATGTATCATGACATTTTTCCCTTTGTGGAGCTGGGGTGGGCATGGCCTGCATGTAACACATCCGGCCCATGTGCCAGTTTGACACCCCTGCAGTCTACAAATGTTTAGGAAACCATTATGCCATTCATTGTATGGGTTGTGGCCTAACATCTCCAGATAGCTGAAGGTTAACAATTATCCAGAATTACACCAACTGGGACTTCTGGCAGGGACATGGTACTGAAATGGCTTTGATCACTCTTTGTAGAAAAATGCTGGAAAATGGGTGGGAGAAACCTGCTTCTTCCAATTTTACACTTCTAGGCTGCTTTCAATGGTAACAGTCATGTCATCTGGAGTGCCATACCATCTGGAGTGCCAAGTTACGATTTCGGACACACTGTTTTGCAGTGATTCTGGTCCTTCTGGTTGGGCCATGTCTAAAAGGTGGAGTGCAGGGACTCTCGATGAAATTCTGGACTGCTGATTATTGCTATTGCATCCATAATATATGACTCTATTGGGGTAAGTCATCCAGAGCTTTGGAGTGGTGTGTTATTAATGTTCTGATGATGCTCAGCAAAATTGGTCCTTAATCTCCAATCCCAGAGAAGCAACTGTACCCTTGCATGCTACTTAAATATGACAATGGACTGGGCCAGAGAAAACAAACTGGAATTTAATTCATACAAGATGCAGATACTGCTGGAAAATAGGATGCTGTAAGTGACGTTCAGTTTGTTTTGAATGGGATATGTTTTCCCCATAAAAACAAATTCACAGACTGGAAGTACTTCTTATTCCAAATATTTGTCAAATTAGGGTTTTTTATTTGAAAGCAAAAGAACAAGGCTTGAGTAACATTCCATCTTCCTACATGTACAGGATGTAATCAGCCCACATCGAATAGAGAAACGTATGTTGCAGAATTTGGCTGCCATCCTATGCACAGTCGTATGTGAGCAAAAGCCGTTTCCAATTCAGCTGGAGTGATACTTTAATGATGAATATCTCAAAGGTTTGTCATCCAAAGGCTCACTGTAAACATTTCCTTTCCCATGTGGTACATTTTGCATCATAAAATGTGGCGTTTCCTCATCTAAGAACGTAGGCGCATTAGTTAATTGGTCTGATTATAAAGCCACTTGGTAGGCTTTTTCCCTACAGAGACTCTGGAATAATACAGTTTCCTGCATTATGCAACTAAGCTGGCATTTTGCTTTCCATCCCAAAAAGAGAACTGCCCATAGCTGTTGTACCCTTCCCAAACCCATTCACAGAAAATATACTCCGTATTTTTTGGAGTATAAGATGCACCTTCCCCCCCACCCCTAAAAAAAGGGGGTGAAATTCTGGGTGTGTCTTATACACTGAATACAGCATTTTTGGCCTCCTGAAACCCCACCCCTTCACAAAAATGGATGTGCAGAGGGTTTGGGAGGCCTGCAAAGTGCTCCTGGGGGCTGGGGAGGGCAAAAATGAGTGAAAAACAAGCCTTTTTTGCTCATTTTGGGGGGGAGGCAGCCCTCAGGAACACTCTACAAGCCTCCTAAAGGCTATGCATACCCCTTCTTTTGGCAAAAAACAGACTGTTTTTTGCTCATTTTTGCCCCCCCCAACCTCCAGGAGCACTTTGCAGGCCTCTCAAACTCTCTGCATGCCCTGTTTTTCACCAAAAATGAAGACTGAAGAGGGTTTGGGAGGCTTGCAGAATGCAAAAACTTTTTAAAAAAAATTTACCTCTTCAAAATCTTGGTGCGTCTTATACTCCCATGCGACTTATACTCTGAAAAATATGGTATATGAAAGTGTATGACGACAGGAAAGGGCATTCAGCTATTATACACACTGCTAACTCAATTCAGTTGCCCAGACTTCACCCCGCACGGGATTATGGGGTCATTAAAAGATGACGATGAAGATTTATTTTTATTTATTTATCATTAAATTTATATTGCCACCTATTCAAGGTGGCTTACAGAATATAAAAAAGCCACATCTAAAAACAGTAAAACTAATAAAAAATCAAATACATTAATGTAATAAAATCATCTCCCACCCCCCACCCACCCCAGCGACAGCCGATTATACGGGCCATTTAATGGGCTCCCTTCCTCTCTGGGTTCCCCAGGCCTGCTGGCAGAAACAGGTCTTTAGTGCCTTCCAGAAGAGGGTTGAATGGGGGCCATTTTAATCTCTGGGGGAAAAGATGTTCCAGAGAGGGGGGGCCACCATGGAGAAGGCCCTTCTTGTTGGTCCCACCAGGTGTATCTCCCTTAGGGATGGGACCCACAACATTCCTGTCTTCCCCATTCTGATGGGTTGGGTAGATTGACAGGCAAGAGATGGTGCCTCAAATAACCTGGTCCCAAGCCATGATGATGATGATGATGATGATGATGATGATGATGATGATGATGATGTATATAAAAGTGTATATTCTGCCTTTCTTAGGCGTATGCATAACTCATTTGTTTTCTTGTTTAGCCACTTACTCCAGAATCATCACTTTTACTCTCATTTTTGGTGGTTACATTCGGGATAGACAATCTCCAAAGCTTGACTTATTTCTCCCATTCAGGATCAAATGTATGATATCAAAAACCTGATTTTTACTTTTGGAGGACATCCAGATTAGGGAAAATTGTTTTGAGGAATGCTGGAATCTAAACTGAGCATAAGAGCTTGTCAAACTTCGGCTAGTCAATTCATGCTCTTATGTCCACAAACATTGCAGAGTTGAAAACTGCATTCCCAAAAAATCTTGTTTTTTATTTATTCATGAGAAGGTGATGAGGCCCGGTGGTTACAGAGAACAGCACTTTCCATATGGAGAAAGATATACTTGGAAACTCAGGAGCAAAGGAGCAAAAATGTAGGTTTCTTTTACCTGTCAAATCCCACCGAGGGCTTCTTTTATCTTCTTT